AACAATTGATTTATACCTTCCATATAAACATTTTCTATACTTACGTTTCCATATTTAATAATGATTAAATCATTTCCAATATTATTTTTTAAAACAATTGATTTACACCTTCCATATAAACGGTTTATATATTTATATTTTCATATTTAAAAATAATTAAATCATTTCCAATATTAACCATTATACAGTAAAATGACAATCATACCCTTACTTATTAAAATTAAAGAATAAAAAACGAAAATTTCCTATTGGTTGAGAGTGATTTGCATAGTTTTCACGAATCAGACGATTTGTAATCTAACAATCTCTCTCTCTCTCTCTCTCTATATATATATATATATGTTGGTTATTATACAACATTTGACATTTGTGCAACCAATATAACATAATCTCAACCGTCCATTTTATTTGATTAATATGTTATTTCATAGAAGTTTTGATTGTTTCATAATATAAAGTATTGATCATAATTAATGAACCATATTCATCTTACATATATATTCAAATCATAATAAACGAACTCTCATCATTTCTATAAATATCTCAATTTATTGGGTTACATTGGTTGTACAAATAGGATAGATTGTATTTGAAACAAACTCTCTCTCTCTCTCTCTCTATATATATATATATATATATATATATTAAGATATAGATTGATGCTAAATTAACGTTAATCAGCCGTGATGGTTTTGGACTTTCGGTTTTGTAAAGTAAAAGTAATCATGTCATCAAATGTTGTTCTTTACTTATCCTAAATCATTTTTTCTTCTTTTTCATGGGTCAACTAAAGATTTGTTTCATATTTTTTCTCTATTAAAAAAACATAAAAATTCCTCCCAATCATTAAAATTTTTTTAAAGAAATCCTCTGAAATAGTGCAATGTAGCTAAAAACATATCGAGTGCCTTTATCGATCTTTGACCCACCTTAAAAGTCTTCTTGTTCGGCAAAATTTTGGATACACCACTACGGGTACCGTTAGACCAAAATATTATCTACTTCCAAAGTAACAGACATGGATGGACCTAGTATAGTGGTTACGGTGGCACGTCCCACCGTATTATTCCTCCGTCGAAGGGTAAAAAAATTTAGGTTCATAAAGGTGCAATCGTATTAATTTGTTGTGTGTCACCGTATGTATTTTGAAACTACAACGTAAATAAGTTTTATTTGGTAGAGTTAATTTGCAAGATTTTTATTCCACCCCAGACCTAACTTCGAATCATGTTACTGTCATTTCCTTAGTCAAATGGTGTCACCGTTTGAAAAAAAATTATGTATATTTGTGTCTTATAGTCAAACAGTGTCACCATTTAAAAAAAATTTCTTATGTTTTTTTTCTTATAGTCAAATTGTGCCACCATTTGAAAATTTTTCCCTGTGTTTTTTTTTTCTTATTGTCAAATGGTGCCACCGTTTGAAAAAAATTCAGGATTCGTCCCTAGTAACATATGTCTACTTTTAAAAAAATTATCTAATTTTTAATTCTACCTTTGATTATGACATAAGAATATGAAATACTCTCTCTAATATTATATTTATATTATCATTTTGTTAATTAAAAATAATTACAAATCTAAAGCTATATATTTATTTCATATCTTTATCATTTTTCATATCAACAAGGGTGTTGGGATGGATGGAGTAAACGGACACGTCCCAAATGGTAGGGGTATAAATGATACGAAACAACTCATGAGCTATTCGAGATTGACTCGGTTATGACTTATTCAACACTTGACTCGAGTAGGCATGACTTGAACTCAAGCTCGACTTAACATAGTGAGATACTCGATTTTTTTTTTATATATAATCAGTTTTATAATATTTGTAAAACACAACGCAAACTTATTAATAAATTTAACATTATAAAATGCAAGAATATGTAAGTTTAAATGATATTTTAATTAAATTAATGATAATATGAAGTCATTTTTTGTTTTAATAAGTAAGGATTTGACCATCGAAAACCCGGGTCCAAGCCCGGGTCTGGGCAGTGGGCGGGTGAGAACTGCATGGCTAGCGGCCTACGTCTGATTTGTTGGTTTATGAACTAGTTTATTTAATTCTGGGCTGCTCTAAATCCATTGGGCTACTGGTTAGAAGCCCACGTACACACCACATATCATGCTATAAAATTAACTATTTAGGGGTCATTTACCAAACGCTTACTCGGGTAAGTGAACATCAAGTCACATTACGTTACTGGATGGATATGGTAAGGATCAAGAATCTTACCAGGTAAGAACAAGACAAAGACCAACAGTCTTACTCGGTAAGTGAGGTCAACGACTCTTACCACGGTAAGCGCTTACCGGGTAAATTGTTGCATACGATACTGTTTTGGTGGACTAAAATCTTATCTGGTAAGTAAATGATAATATCAAATTTTACCAGTAAACGCTTACCGGGTTAGTAGTTTGGCAACCCACCCCTTAGTGTTATCGATTACTAATTTATAAAGTATTTTCGTTTGATTTTGATTGAAAATTTTATGATATTTAGTCAAAAACTAATTTTAAAGATAAAAAAATCACTTAAATATCTTTAGGTCATTTTAAAAAGTTGTCGTCACTAATTTTCAAACGTGATTATATGTTTTGAGATTGTGCGAAATTCATTTGCGACCATTGATTTCGTAAAAATATGTTTCGGTTTTGATATCTGATATTTTTTAAATTAGATAATATTTTCTTATTTGTTAAGGTTTATTGTTGATATCGATACTCCAAAAGGAGCAAGTACGTATTTATAGCTAGCATATGTACAATTATGAAGGGGACGAGACGATCATAAAAAAGACATTTAGTTATTCGGGTCGCTTTAAAGATTTAATCTAAACGTCTGTAAGCCATTTTGACTAACACATGTGACGATTCACATACGTTAAATGTTTTATTTTATGATAATTACTCATGTTTCTGGTTTATGATATACTTTTTTAAGGGGTTGTTAAACATATCCCTTCCTACATATATGTAACACGCCTCTTCTTGTTTTTTATAATATTGACATTAATATTATTATTCAAGTACATTCATGTTTTTTATATTATTATTCAGGTACAATATTTTTGTTCAGATAGTTGGTGTAATATCGACCAATATGACATTTTGTATAACATTTGTTTTCATGCATCAAGAAAGAGAATCAAATTATACTTGGGTATTAGATTGTCTGAAGTCCAAAATAAATGTTTGCATTTTTTCAAGCGTCAGTCACAAATAGAGAGTTGACTTTGATTAATGCATGCAAATTGCAAAGTGGTATTTCCAAATGCTAAATGATTTCTTTGTAGATGGCATGTCTACCAAAATGTTTTGAAAAATTGTAAACCAACGATACACGATCATCAATCGTGGAATTCATTTTACGATGCACGACAACAATTACTTGAATCTCGAACTCCAGAATGGTACAAATACAAATTGGCACAACTTGAAGCAAACAGGAGCAACTACTCAGGCATAGTAGATATATGGTTTTTTTCAAGTTACTTCACTAATGATCATTACTCGTAATATTGACACAAGTATGTTGCACTTTTCAAGTATTCTCAAGTACCTGAATAATGTATGGCTGATATCGTATGAGAAGATGTTTGTATCTGCTTGCGTTGATTAATATCTAAACTTTGGAAATCACACAACAAATAGAGTTGAAATTCAACATTCTAAGTTAAAAACATACTTGGAGACTTCAGAAGCAAAATTTAAAAAAAGAGAGCATATTCATCAAGTAATTGAATCACAAGACATGTCGATCAAATCAAGTTTTGAACAAAACAAAATTGTCAAGGAACATCAATTTGACAAACCACACTTTCAAAATTTGTGGGATTTAGTTTCAATCTACGCACTTGACTTAATTTTCAATGAATGTGAATGGTCTTACAATGTTGGTGTATATTCTAAAATTGTGGTTGTAAACTGCATACAAGTTATGGTTTGTCATATGCACATGAACAAGCATTATGTTTAGGTCAAGGCAAACCCACTCCATTTGATGTGGTAAATGTATTTTTGAAAAAACTTGATTTCTCGTCTTTTTTGTCCAACTAATATGATGACCCTCAACGTGAGGAGGAAGTCAAATGTTTAAAGAAAAATTCAACAAGCAAGCAGCTCATGGTCGTAAAGTTCACTGAGAAAGTTGAATAATATAATTATGTCATCTAAAACTTTGGTTCGTGAACTCGTTGTTCGTAGATTCACTCGTGGGCGTCCATCCTTGGAAGATCAAGTTTTCAGAAGAAAAAAATTAACCAGTCTCTTGAAGACCCCCATAAGCGTAGTTGTTCTAACAAGTCTAAGTTTATCAACTCTAAAATTATGGGGGCATCAAGAGCAAACGAGGCATAGTTCCTATTATCAGCAACAATTCACCACCTCACATTCATATATCGATCAATCCTGGGAATATAACACTCGTAATCATGTAGATACAAAGAGGTAATAAGCAAAAGAAATTTGTGGATTTAGAGAGACATATGTTTGTTTGGGTGTAGATGAAGAAGATCAAGACACTACTCGTAATAAGTTGATACTTGAATTAGTCAATTATCAAGAATTCTACTCCCGAACGTTTACCCACCAGTATATACACGATACAACTCATTGAATTTCTTTCAAAAGGGTGTGGTTACACCATTTTAGCGCTCGATGAATATGCCTGGAATAAGCATTTTAATTGCTTCAAGGTACAACATGATACTACACGTTTTTAGTACGAATGCAAGTTTTAAACTTACCGTTGGGCGGACATATCCACCACCATCCTCTCATTAGATTGGCTTTTCATTAGATATAATAATGGTTAAGAGGTTGTTTGTTTAGCTCTTAATGGTGACATTAAGAGCCAACCTCTTAATCGGTAAGAGGTAAAGACTGTTTGGCAAAAAAAAAAAAATAAGCCTCTTAATGGTTACATGACCCTCTTAACCATTTTGTGTCCAAGACTTCACTCAACCGTTCAGATATCATTTGTTCCATCTTTACCCTTCCCACTCCTCTCTTCCAGCATCACAATCCTTCCATCTCTTCCAGCGTCGCTTTCACAATCCGAGGAGTCTTCCAGGGTCGCCTTCACGATTTCCACCGTCTCCATCTCCGGTCACCTTCACCGTCTCCATCTCCGGCCTTCCACAGCCCTCTACAATAGCCGCTTCACATCGCATCCCCCACGATCGTCATTCTTCCGTTCACCATCTTCCCCCCCACTATTGTCGCTTTTCCGGTCGTCTCCTCCGGTCGCCGTCTTCTAGCTGCTCCTCTTGTCGACGTCTTCCAGCTGTTCCTCCGTTCGCCCTACTGCTTCATATACCTTCCTCTTCCAGGTATTTCATCGCCTCCCCTACTGCTTCCCTCTACCAGATTAATTAGGGCTATTTGTTAATTAGGGCTTGTACGTTAATTAGGGCTGTTTGTATGTAGGATGCGTTTTAAATGGGTATATGCATAGGTCTGTTTGTTGTATATGCATAGTTCTGTTTGTTGATAAATGGGTATATGCATAGTTCTGTTTGTTGATAAATGGGTATATGCATCATGATTTTGCTGTATATACATCATGATTTTGATACATCCTAACATGGTAAGCTTGTTCATAACTTGGTTGTGAAATCATGATGATACATCCTAACATGGTAAGCTTGTTGATAAATGGGTATTTGCATCATGATTTTGCTGTATATGCATAACTTGGTTGTGAAATCATGATGATACATCCTAAATCTTTCAAAGGGTTAAAGTGGTAATTTATTGTCATTAAGAGAACAGTTACCAAACAACATTATTTCATTCAGCACTTAACCATTCTGACCCTCTTAACCATTCTGACCTCTTAACTATTTTGCACTAAATCATTCAGCAACTGCCAAACAGCCCTTAAGTTGAATTTGGAAGTTAGTAAAATTTAAAAATAAAAACTATTTAATTGGATTAATATTTAAATGTCAATTAAGATGGAAATATAGAAATGAGAAAAGGTAATAAATAGTCTGACAAGGAACCATGGCCATCCCATGTATGCATATAATATGATGGGAGATAGCCTGTAATGTCTGCGACTACTCGCCCCAATTACTCTCTTACCTTCCTATAAAATATTTTCGTATTTAATTTCCAAAAAATTTAATATAACTTCGTATAAAGCAAATAATAAAAATTTAAAATTCTAAAATATTTTTTTATAAGTTTTTATTAGTTGCGGGTAGTTTATTTACTTTTTAATAGTTCCATTAAGAGACAGTCTCTGAACCGTTAAGAGATGAATCTTGTTTGACAAAATACTAACTTATATCCAAGATTAGAATGAGACAGGTTTATGAAGACGTTACTTCAAAAACCAAACATAATTACGATAGTTTCTTTCATCAACTGTGATCATAAATAAATGAATGAAATCTATAATTATTTAATAGCTCCGACTGTCTTTTGTTTATACAGGGTTCGATGTTGGGCACAAGCCCATATGATGTGAGTTACATGCCTTCATTTGTACGACAATATGAGTTGGTAGAAACATGGACTCTTTATTTGAATGACAAAGTATGGTCTATTTACATTAAGATATGAGGTGCCCACTTCTTGGTTTCAAATTTCGAATATATATATATATATATATATATATATATATATCTTAGATCAGATCAACTCAAATCATAATTGAATGTGATATCTCAATTTAAAATTCTATGATTACGATCACGTTTTATCAGTAATGATTGTATATGAACTCTTAATACAACGAATATTTATGTTTTTTTATTGCGTTCCGTAACTGAAAGTGCTTGTAACAATTCATCCTACATTGATGGGAATTGGGATTCAAGAGCTTGCGAGCTCATTTTAGAAAAAAAGGTTAACAATTTATTTACTATAAACAACAATCATGGATTTTTGGATGATATAATTCTGATATCAAAAGACTTTTAGCCTAGTGGTATCGTAACCTTTGATTTTCTAAGAGGTTAGAAGTTCAAACCTCACTAAAGATGATGAAAATATGTTAGTTTATTTATTACATTTGTCGTATATAATCATTATATTAAAAAAAACAATTATATATTATTGTTACAAGCATGCAATCATTTGGTGTAAAATATAGAAAACAAATCTTTCATAATTTTTATATTCTATAAAATAATACTAAACATGAAAGTCAGTAGATCTCTGTTTCAATAATGAAATTTTAGCATTTTATATGAAAATTATTAGTTTGTTAAATAAAATAATTGAAAAAGACATTTACTCCAGATATTTGCAAAATATAATAAAATATATTCAAGATATTTTATAGAATTCATGATATTTTTCGTTTTGTGAGGTTTTTTTTATTGTTGTAAGTTGTAACTGCTGGTAAATAGTAAAATAATTTATATCTGTTACACTTTATATATTTTAATGATTTAAAAACGAATTTAGTTTATATAAATACGGTTATATTTTTATAGATTTAATCATTCAAACGATAAATGTATTAAAAAAATTAAATCAACTTTATTGTCTCGATAAATTTTAAATAACACTACAAAATCAAATACGTCTCGAAATATGATAAAAATGTATTTACAAAACGTACGATTGAATAGTAGAAGTGGTTTTATTTATGGTAATTTTTTAGTATATCAAAATTAGAGTCACATTAAAAATGATCAATATATAAGTGTAACAACAAAACTTAATAGATTATTAAAAACCATAGCCTTTTAACAGTTGTATTTATTACTGGTAATACTCGGAATTCTTGTTAGAGAATTAGGACGGTTAAAAACAACTTCAAATGCGGATTTTACCACCACATGTTTAAATTTGTTGACCCTCAGGTTTTCTAATGAAATTTGCGGTTACAATTTGAGTGGTTCGATTTCTCGATGGTAATTTCACCGTTTTCCAACGTTTCAACACTAAAATGAGGCCTCAGAACCTTTGTACATGCTCGTTAAGGCCTTATGCTTATAAAGACATATTTGTGATGAAAAACTTCATATCAAAATATAACACGTATATTACATTTCACAATTTTATCAAATGCACGTATGATTACATCTATATCACTTTTCCGACTTCACCAAACTTAACCGAAACAAAATTTCAAAATCACAATCTTGTTTTTCCACTCGTATAGATCATTAATCCATGATTGGTTTTCTGTTTCTATGGTCGGATTAACGAGATTTCCTTGCTTTTCTTCTTAGTTCCTTACTTTCTATCTCTCCAATTGAGTTCTTGTTACGTAATTTCAATATAATGTTTGTATTTTTAGTTGTACCATTCTTAAAATATCATCTAATTCTACGATCCATTACATTGTTATAATCGTCTCGTATTATGGTATTCTCTTAATTTTGGTCACCTGCTTAAATAATACATGATCTTCATTTCATGTATTAATACCTTTTAAACTTTTATAACTACATCTATTGTATCCTAATTGTTTGTCATCTAGCTGATACATTATTTTTGTGTACCACGAAATTCATAATTAACCAGAATTCAGTATTTTATTATTCATATTTCATTATATTCTATTTTAATATTAAAATAGTTGGCCCTCTTGCATACCCGTCATATTTTATACAATTTATCTCATCCAAAAAATCTTTTTATAAGATTGGTCCAAAACCCTCCATTTTAATATACGAGTTTCTAAGATTAAACGACAACCTTAGATATTTCTAACATTACCTTAAATCTTATATTCCATGCTGAGGATTTGTGTTTGTGGGCTGGGGTGAATATTAGTGGTTGACAATCGTTCGAACTTGGTAAAGGTTATCGTCGCACCTGTAGTAAGGCAGAGGACTTATCGTGATGCCCGCAGACCAATTTACAATGTCTCTGTTGCTGACGTTCGTCAAACAAGCCACGTGGATTGGTCAGGGTCTTCTTCGGCTAATGAGACCTCGATATTGATGCTGAGCATTTAGCGGATCATGACATCTTTTAAAAACATAAGTTTTATGGGGGTATGGTGAACGTATTAACAATACAAGTACTTTTGTACATATGTATTTAACTAAGACTACCATCATCTGTTAAGCATCTCATGCTGTGTTCTAGAGTGCTTTTTACGAAGGAAAAAGAGGAAAAGGAAAAAAGGGGAGAAAAAAAAATATATATATATATATATTTATATTGTGTTCTCGATTCTTTATAGGAGAGAAAGAAATGGAAAACAAACTGATACTATAATAAAATTGGTTTTATAGGACGTCTAAATTGTCTAAGCGTCTATATTATAGAACTCAAGTTTATGAGATCAAACTAAAAAGTGTCTTATCTAAAAGCATTATAATAAGTTTTATAGGACGCTTTTAAGTGTTTAAACAATTTTTAAAGACGTTTTTAAAATAAAGTTTCATATTAACTAGTTTATAAGATACTTTTGAGAAGTGTCTCATAAACTCATCTTTTTATAGCACAAGTGTGTTTAGAGGACATTTTTCAGATAGTGTCGTATAAAATAGTTACTACGACACTTAATTTTAATTAAAAGCGTTCTAAAAGACTTGTTAAAGCGTATAGAAACGTCATATAACCTATTGTAACACCTTTAGATAAAATGCTCTTTAGTTTCGTCCTACAAACTTAAGCCCTGTAAAGTATTTTTTTTAGGACGCTTCTTAATTTTAGATGTCTTATACGATCAAATGTTGTTATTGTGTGATTTTCCTCCCAAATATGACAGGAAAGAGATGGAAAGAAAGAAAGAAAATAAATAATAACAATTAGATTTTAAGAGCGAGTAATATTTAAGGATTTAGTTCCGGTTGGTGAAAAGAGTAAAAAATCTCTACCTTTGGATCAATCATAATTGAAAAGTTCTAGTAGATCAATTTTCTTTTAAAGCTCAATTCATGAGTTGATTTGAGATTAAAAGTGATCAAATGTCTAAATCTTTTATTACATTTTCTCATATGATTATTAATGTAATGTTTAAATATTTAATAAGCGGTCAACTTTATTAATTTGATAGTCCATGTGAGATTTTGAAATGGGCAAACAAGATAGGCGTTACATTTGTAGCAAAGACCAAACATGTACATCTTTATGGACCAACCTATTAAATCACATTTATCATCTAATACTTCTTATAAATATATATATATGAAAACCGTTCAGTTTTTAAGAGATTTGTAAGATTACGTGGTTGTTTACCAAACACTTATCCGGGTAAGTGTTTACCAAGTAACATTACCTCACCGCATGAATATGGTAAAGACCAAGAATCTTACCCGGTAAGAGCGAGACAGGGACCAACAATCTTACCCGATAAGTGAGGGCGACGACTCTTACCACGGTAAGCAATTACCGGGTAAATTGTTGCATACGATGTCGTTTTGGTGGACTAAAATATTAAGTAATAGTGTTACATTTTACCGGTAAGCACTTACCGGGTAAGTGTTTGGTAAACGACCCATACGTTAAATATTTTGGATGAGTTGATATCGACTAACATTCACCGTAAAACATCGAGTCTTCACATAATCGAACTTTTAGATCGAAAAACTCAAACATTTACATGAAAAAACCCGTTCACTTACAAAAACACAAGCAAAATGTGGTTACCTTGAATGGTAACATATAAAAGGATATAAAAAATCAATAAACTTTTTTATTTTAAATAAAAAAAACCATTAAACTTTCTCATTTGAAATAAATAATCAAATCATTGAATATTTTTTTATAAATAAATTATCGAACTTTTAAAAACCGATTACTTACTCCTTTTTAATCCTATAAAACTACTTGTGGCTGTAACAGTTAGAAATGTTTTAAATTAAGAAAAAAACTTAATCAGTTTCACTGTTCTCAAACCTTACGCCTTTCAACCTCTCGCATCCAATGGCCATCCCTGTGTAAGGGCTTGCCGGGCGCACCCTCAGGGTCTACAAGAAATAGGGGCCCAAATGTTTTTAGTATATATAATTAATAGTTCAAAAAAATTGATAAATAAAAGAGTTAATTTTTTAATATTTAATAGGACCCAAAAATAATTTAGTATTATATTAAGGGCCGAATCATGCACTGGTTAATTACATTGGAGAAGAAACTAAGTAAAATGGTTAATTAGTCGTTCATCTTATTGTATCGTTTATTGTTTCTTTAAACTTTTTATATTTAGTACCAAAGTCTAAATCTATTTGTCAAGAAAAAACCTAGATATATTCTTCATTATTCATCTCGCATCGACTCCTTCGATTATTTCGTTCGGATGAATAATTCTATTGTTCTATTGTAATATAGCAGATTTCTTGATATTAGCTAAAAAAAACTTCTACATTTGGAAAAATCACCAACCATATGAGACGATCAAACGAGTATTTACATTTAGGATTTCATAAGTATTATTTTTCATGCATTATTGACTCTTTATTACCTAATATTGATTGCATGAATTTTAAGTTGTCTCATATTTCTAAAACATGAATAAGATTTCAAGTTATAATAGAGGGAGAATCAAAATAAAAAAAAGAGAAAGATCGATGAACAGGGCCAATGACAGCAATAATTGGTATAGACTATAGAGAACAAACGATGATAGAGCGACGGAAGGGAGAGATGTCAATGGGTGCAAGGAGTTTGAACGACCGTAGAGTTTAGGAACGATAAAACTGATTTAAGTTTTTTAGTCTAAAACTTTTCTAACCGTTATATATAATTTTTTTGTTGCTAAAAGAACGTAAGTAACCATTTTTAAAAAAGTGAAGGATTTATTTGTTTAAAAAATAATATTCAGTGACTTAAATATTTAAAATAAAAAAATTAATAATTTATTCATTTAAAAATTTAGTTTAAAAACTTAAACAATTAAAATAGAAAAATTCATTAAATTCCCTCAATTTTTTGCTTCATTTATTAAAAAAAAAATTCAAAAACCTAATTAATCATTTAAAATAAAATAAAAAATCTTTTTTAATTACAAAAAAATAAAAATCTTAAATCATTTAAATTGAAAAAATTCGTTAGATTTTTCTTTAGTTTTCACCGATTCAATCCACTACAAACCATAGATTTGATGTAGGTTTTTGTTTCCTTGTGGATTTTTATGTGGTTGGGATGACAAGAATGTTGATAAATTTGCGCTGTGGTCACCCACGTAATAAAATCTGTATTTTCTCATTAATTTTTTTCTTCCAAAAAATAGAAAATTAAAAAGCACATTAAAAAATATATTTATAACTTGATAAATTTAGGGGTTGTTTACTAAATGTTTAATGGATAAGCATTTATTGATATCATTTACCTTATTGATTGAGCATAAAAAGAACCAAAAAAACTTACCCGGTAAAAGACACAACAATGATCGAGGATTATAAATGATAAGTGAGAAAAAAAAAATACTCTTGTTGGTGAGCACTTACCCAGTAAGGGTTTGATAAACGGCCCCTTAATCTTGTATAATGAATTTGTTATGGAAATATTCGATTTGTTTGAAGAAATTGTGATTGTAAAAAGACAGTTGTACGTAGTAAAGTTCCATATGTTGTTGATGCATTGCCATTCCCTTTAAATCAAGTCATAGACATTGCATTTGTTTTGTCTTGTAACTTTCACTATATTTGAAAGAGCCATAAACGTGCTTCATAATGGTAAGTTTTACAAATATCAAGTCCGTTTGTGTTTTGTTGGGTAGAAATATAAAATTTAAAGCAAATTCTAAAGTGTCAACTTGGACTAGTTAATAAAAACTTGACATCTTGAGTCTAAATGTCGTGTAGTATTCAATAAATTATCATAAATGTGTCAATACACAGATAATGAACATATATTTATTATGTTATTTAGAATGTTCTAAATACAGATAGTTACTTAAGTCCGTACGAAAGAATCCTGGAAATCAACATGATTGAAGATTGTTTGTTTGAAAAACAACATGGAGTTTAAAGATTGTTATGATTGTTTTTAAAATAAAATATTACTGATAAATCTTGAACAAAAATCCTCTTATATTTTAAGGAACAAAAGTGAGACGTTGCTTGACTTAAAAGAACAACATCATTTAACATTGCCCAAGTTTGATCATTCATTGGACCATAATAAGAAACGTAGGATGGAAAGTACCCCAAAGAAGAAGCAAAAAAGAAGTGTCATACTTGTGGTTGAGAAAAGCATTTGTTTCTTTTTGGATTTCTGTTCGGTTTTTAAGTTCAATATGAAATGGTAATGAATGTGAATGATGGTATATTCATGATTTACTTTTAATGTAAGAATCGTTGACCAGTGAGAAGTTACGAGTTTTGTAAGGTTTTAAAGATTATCTATGTTTGAAGTTGTAATACTGAAAGTTTGTGCTCGAAATGAAAAATGAAAAGTGTAAGGGTCGAAGTTGTTAATAATTGAAAGATGAAGTTTGAGGGTTAATGCATGAATAACTGAAGTGGTAGGATCGAACTGACAATATGGTGATTACGTTCAGATAGAACATGTGAAGGAAGTTGAGCAATTACGAGGGAAAAGATTGAAGTGAGTTAGAAAAGCAATTAGGCAATAAATGGTCGAAAATTATGTGTCATTTTTACTTCTTACTTCTCCAGATTCGGAGAGAAAAGACAGAGAAATGATAGAAATACAAAGAAGTGGAAGCAAGAAAGGAAGTGAAGCACTCAAGTATACCAAGGAGGCTTCATCGTTTAAAGTAAGAATTCAATGCTCATTTCATGTATTAATGCTTGTCAGTACTATGTTAAGTAGTAACAAGGTATGGTGTCAAAATGAAACTATTATGGAGCTGTAAAGTTATGAATTAGAGCCTGAAATAAAAAAGAAGTTGAATTCATAGTATAATGAGCGAATTTTGTGAATGGCGTCATAAAATGTTGTTTTAAATCACGATTATTGAAGTAATGAAAAATAAATGATCTAAATTGTGTTAGAATGATGTAATTTAAGAAAAAACATTGTTGTATTCATAATAGTTTGACCAACAAGCTATATGTGTTGAACACGAGCCTAAAGGCAAGCTCACGAGGCTGCAAGAGAGGTCAACGTCAATCGTTTATGAGCCTATACTAGTGAAGGTGAGTCTTGAGACCAAACATAAGCACAAACTCACTCATGAAGTCGCATTGACCGGCAAACGATAGCTAGATGAAGCCCTTCATGCCAGTTCACATATGAGATCTCAGATGCTGCTATAAGTTGTACATATGTATTTTTTGCTTACGATATATGTATAATCGTTACAATATTTTTTCTTTGTAGTGTGATGCATACGTTGCATGTTCTTAAAAACATTGACGTGTTCTTGATAACACTTTGATATGATGCTTAACAATATGAAATGTTAATAATTGTTTGTAGCCATTAACTTACTGAACGTGATGTGTGAATGAGTCATATGATATAAGTTATGATATGGTGTCATTATCTTGATGAAAAGTCGGTGTGACAAAAGTGTCGGAGAATTGGATATTTGCATGCATTAGACCCACAAACATAACGGGTATTTGAATCTTTGGCCTCCTATTCAAACCTCATCAAACGTGAGAAAGATGTGTTAGTTTATTTGTTATATTTGTCGTGTATAAATATTATATACTTAAAAAAACATAACAGGTATGAGCATAAACAGTACATTATACAAGCTACTCACGAATTTTTAGATATTCAAAATTTAATACTCTATATATACCAATGATCTATGAATACCCGGACGATGAAGCATAATGTCCTAGAAGACCATCACACTGGTTTGGTGATCGAGCGACAATAAATCTACAAACTTATTTGTTCCTAACTAAGGTATGGGGTTAATCTAACTAACAAGTTAAACAATGATATCAAACACGATTAAATGTTTTATGAAAGTCAAGTTTTATAGCAGTCAACAAACATTGCCATAGTTTTTAAAGCATAATTTTTTGGTTAAAAATATAATAAATTTGGTTAACATTTGAACTAGACATTCTCTCTTAATGTGTATGTGTATATGTGTGTGTGTATATATATATATATATATATATATATATATATATATTGGTGAACGACGATGGATGAAAAGTTTGAAAGATAAAAAAATAATAATTAGGTCACGTGAAAGGGTCCAAACAGAAAGTAGACAACAGCCAAAAAGCAGCTTAAATTATCTCTCATTTTTGTGTTTTGTTTTTGTGTTGAATTTATAAGGACAAAAATACATCACATGCTCAAGATCCTCCTCCTCACTCTTACCCACATATATTATCATTAACAGTTCATCATTCACTATAAAATAAATTTAAATTCAACAAATACCCAATTCAAAAAATTTAAATTTTAATGATATTTATATTACTACACAAAATCCCAAGTGGTTTCAGCTCTAGATTCTGTATGCTGACTCAAGCTCTTGAGCAACCACTTCGAGAAAACCCTAGTTGTGATCGTCCGATGTCGAATTCGAACAAAAACCCCTGTTGCATTAGGTTTCCGATCACGGAAAATCCACCCGGCGATGTCACTGGCTGCAATGCTAAGCATTTTACGTTTTCCGATGTGTCAATGAAGTAGTTTCCGACCGGCGGAGAAAACACCGAGTTGCCAACCAGTTTGAAACTCAGTTTGGGTAGACTCGGTCTCCGAATGCCTGACACGTTGAAACAAAGATCAAAGTTTGGTGGCGATCCTGCTGGGGTTGGCAGTTTCACGCGCCGCCTGATAGCCGCTAAAACATGGCGGTAAGCGGTGTCGGGTAAGAAAGTGAGGGTGGTGCCTGAGTCAACGATGGTGCCACCGTTTCCTAATTTGTCCATTTCCCAAACCGAAGGGCTTACACGTAATTTCAGGTTATCCACGTATACATTTTGGATCCCAATGTAGTAAAACGTGAAGGATAAAGGGTTTGTTAGCAATGGGGTGTACCGGAATCTTGAATTTCCGGTGGTGCTGCCGATCAAGAGGTAACTCGTCGGCGGCGGAGCGATGGTGTAGTCTTTGAGACAGTAAGAGAACTTGTTACCGAACCGGCGGCCAAGTTGGGTAACAAAGGAGATGGGCCCACGACCCAGGCCCATTACTCCTTGGGCTCCATTAAAGCTAGGACCGGAAACACTCGGACCGGAAATCTTAAAGCCGCAACCGAATGCCAAGCTGTCATGCTGTAGTAATTTCCCGGTACTGGAGTTGAACGACGTCGTTTCTTTCGCAAAGAACCCGTTGGTGATAGACCCATCGGAGTATGAATACTCGTACCGGCAGGGGGTGTGGAGGCGCGTGTGGTTGCACGCGACCGGGGGGCGAGGGTGAGGGACGAGTCGACACGCTGGATCGAAACAGTGGTGGAGCCAGTAGGAGGAGGAGTGGCGGGCGAGGAATGCAGAATGGGCGGGTCGGGTGACGGAGCAATCATCTCGGCAGGCGGAGCAGGTGACCCAGATGAGATCAGAGCCGGTGTCAGCAATGAGGAGGAGGGGTTGTGGAGGAGTACCGAGGTGGAGGGTGACGAAGTATTGTCCGGCGCCGGCGTAAGCGCCGGAAGTGACAGGTAGGTTGGGTTTTCGGTGGAGATTAGAAAGTAGGGAGGAGAGGCGAGCGGCGTCAGAGGAGAAGGCTTGAGAAGGGGATTGAAGAGGGTTAATGTGGAGGAGAGGGAGCTTAAGGAAGTGGTGGTTATCGGAATTAATGGTGGCGGAGTGGCAGATGTGAGTAAATGCAAGGAGTATAATAAGCAGCATTTTGGTTTAGGAGAGAGAGTGGGTGGTAAGTGTAAAGATGGGCTATGGCAATTGGCTGAAATTATGGAGCCAAGTATTTAATATGGACGTATTTTTTTATTTTTTATTTTTTATTTTCTATTTGTTTTTTGGGGTGTGTGTGTTCTCGTAATTTGCAAATAAAATAAAAAACAAGCTACCACGTACATTTATAATATTTATTTATTTTTATTTTTTATTCGTACTAAATTTTATGAAACGTATTCTATCACTCTCGATTTTATAACATATTTATGTTAATCGGGTACGAAACCTACCATATGCAAATATTGTAACATCGAATCTGTGTCAGCAATTTTTCCACAGCACTGAGACATAGATTCAAATTTTTAGTGATTAAAATAATTTAATTGTTATTAATAATATTAATTTAAATAATGAGTAAAATAAATTAGTCGTGGGGTTAGGCACTAACATCCAATTTGAATAGCTGTAGTTGGAAAAAGGTTTCTACTAGAAAATAGTAAATTAACATTCATCTATTGACTATTTTTTTTTTAATAATAATGAATTTCTTTTAAAAATTAAATAGAATTTAAACATCAAAATGTGACGTTCAAAACTATAGCAATCAATCATCTGGTTCATTTTCTTTGCAATCATTTATATTATTAAAGTTTTCAAAACTATAATAATTAATCATCTGTTTTATTTCGTTACAATCACATATGCTATTAAAGTTATCAATGCAATAAACCACTTCAATGCTCGTTGGCTGCGGAGCATTGGTCTTGGGTTCAAGACCTGGTCCTATCATGCGCCTTTCTGCGTAATGGGTCTTGGATATACCATTCACACTAGATTTCTTAGGGGTTGGTGGCGTGTGAGACCGGTTGAGGTTGCTGGTACTTGACCTTTTTTTGAGATGTAGGTTCGAGTTTTTGAATGAGTCTCGAGAAGAATGCAAAAGGGTTCCATATAACGCGGGTTGTGCGTTGTCAAACTAAATAATTTGTCCATCTAATAGAGGCAATAGAGTGTTGCCTCTTAATAGAAAAAACCTTCTATTTTGTCATTCACCTATTTTATTTTTGCCCCCTAACTCCTATTATATACAAGCATTACTCATCTCTTGTCAAGATCTTCATCTGATCGTTCCTTTGAGATTATGAGTTTGAATACGAAATTCCAAAAATCTCCACAGTTCACTTAACCTGATGCCCTGCACTCGACGGGGAATCTGATGCCCGACCCCGATTTTGTCTGGGAATAGGGAATCTCCGAATTTATAAATATATAATCAATATTTCATGATGAAAACTTGTAAAAAATTACATCATTGATTTGGTTGTTCATGAGAAACTTTTATTGATATAACGATGTGATTGTATAAAACTTCAATTATTAAGTATTATAATTGGTATATTTGTGTTTGATCAATTACGTTTTTTTATGTTACTCTTATAGAATTACAACAATTAAAATTTTGGTAATTAAATTTTTTACCATTTTATGCCTTTGAAACATAGAATTGGTATTTATATACATAATATATAAAGATATTGCATAAAAAATTAAATTGTATAGATGGGGAAAATCCTCGATTCCCTGGGGATCCCCGTTCCCCGATAGGGATGAGGATGGAGACGAAATCTTATTCCCCGACGGAGACGGGGATGGGATTGGAAATCGGGGATGGGGATGGAGATTGCGATCCCCGATACCCCGACCCATTGCCATCTCTATTTACAACCATATGTAAAATATTCCAAAAACGTCCTAAAATGTATGATTTAGCAAAAGCTACAAAACTATAGCTAAAATTTGACATAACGATTTTTTTTATATTGTGGCATAAATATGAATCACAAATCTTGTTGTGTCAAATATTAACTAAGAGTCTGTTTGTTAGCATATTAATAAACTTATTGAGACTCAACTTATTCGATCAGCTATATTTAGTAATAGCTTGATGATATTGACAACCTTATCTATGCATGATTTAAAGGAAAACCATATATAGACATGACTTAATAAAAAACCAACCAAACAACCCCTAAAATTCATACAATTTCCAAACATTTGCCAAAGGTGTATGACAAATGCATCTCTACCCTACTTGTTAAATGAACCATACTTTACAAAGGGGCCGTTTACCAAATGTTTACTCGGATAAGTGAACACCAAGTCACATTACCTTAAGGAAATATTTAATTATCTGCCGGAAATCCGCCGGAAATTGTTATATATATATACTATTTCTTATTTTTTTTAAATGTTGATAATCATTTCCGCTGGAAAATCTGCTGGTAAAATGTTGTAATTAGATGTAAATTCAAGTTAAACTAAGTAATTATGAAATCCGCCGGTAATCCGTGGGAGTCAATAAAAGTTGACTTTTTTGGTGTCCCACAGAAATCCGCCGGTAATGCGGATTCCGTCCGCCGGAAATGGCCAGTTTAATTTCTAGTAATGCTTATCGGATGAATATAGTAAAGATCAAGAATCTTACCCGGTAAGAACGAAACAAGAGTCTTACCCGGTAAGTAAGGGCGACGACTCTTACCACGGTAAGCGCTTACCAGGTAAATTGTTACATACGATACCGTTTTTGTGGACTAAAATTTTACGCGATAAGTAGATGATAATGTTAATTTTACCGGTAAACACTTACCGGGTAAGTGTTTGGTAAACGGCCCCTAAGTTTATACTCACACTAATCAACATCAAACGTCTCTTTATATATTTTCAATGCATGATATGGACCAAAATGGCTCGATATAACCACCCTTCGCCAAAATGTTATTTAGTTCATGGTCTCTTCTTTTTATAAAGTTGAAATTTTGAAATCATAGGCAAAACCTCATTTTATAAAGTTCAAGGGTCCAACTGTAATTTTAATAAAATTGATACGATATTTTTTCTATAAATTTATTTATTATTTCATTTATTTATTTGAACCAAATACACACGAGTCGGATTCGGGTCCGAGCCCCACTACTGGTTCCTTTACAGTCCCAACATGACCAAGCTTCGGCCGAACCGAACACAGGTTATAACCCAATAGCATGTTATGGTCCCAAAAAACGTGGGTTTATATACCCACACCCGGTCCACCCGAAAACGCGATCCACGCCTAGGTGTTGAGCAATGATGAATGACCGTTGATTTTTTGGTCCGTTTAATTTATAGGATTGGAATAGATTTAAGAAGATTTGAAATTGAATTCCCGTTTGATTTGAAAGATTTTATAAATTTGAAATATTAGGATTTAATTGAAATCTTATAAATATGGGATTTTGAAATCCCATAGGGATGGTTGGTATTTTATTGGATTTGTAAATGATAACGTTTTAAAATATATTAAAACTATTTATTTTGTAATAATCAGTTAATAAAAAAGTCATTTAATTATTTATAATTTATTTTTGTAGCTAATGGAATTTAATTTCATTTCAAATCCTACAAATCAAACGCACCAAATATTCAAAATCTTTTCAGAGCTAAATCCAAATCCAAATCCATCAAAATTAAATTCTTCCACGAAATATAAATCCCTTAAAATCATTCTAGTCTTTTAGGTCGGATTTACTCCATTCTGCATAGAGCTGATCATTTGCGGCTTGGATTGAGGTTAACTAATTTTTCTTGTCCAAGAGACCCAATATCATAAATCCAATCCCTTTTTTTATGGGGATGAAAACTTACCCATATAGCCATACATGTCCCATAAGGAGGTTGGGCTTGCCCACGGGAGAACGTACATATTATTTTAAAGAAACAAAACTTGTATAAATCACAAGTTATGTAAACTAATTCAAAATACATAACAATTTTTCCAACTTGATATTAGACGTAAATACATAACAATATGCATAATTTAGAAAAAAATTGTTTCACAAAATATAGAGTATTGATAAAGGAAATGACCATATAAAATAATAAGGAATTGATTAATTGCGATGATTATGTCTTTTATTTTTTAGATTTTTGAAGAGTGTTAGTATCATGAGTCATAATTAAGTGGTAATTGATAATTATCAAGAATTTTCAATTTCATTTGTAAATTTTAATTATAAAAGTTATTTTTTATAAAAATATTAATGAATCGTGCGGACTTGCCCATTTTTTGTTGTTGCATCATTCATGTCCACCCATTAATTTTAATAAGTCATTCCTGATCCACCCATTTATTCAAGAATGGTAGTACAAGCCTGTTTTTCTACCGGATCGGATATGACAGATCTAGCGGGTCGTCCTACCTGTAAACAACTCTAATTCCACATTACTTCTTGTCGTTCTTTTTACATAATTTCATAGATTTATTATTTAATCGAAGAGTAGGTTAATATAAGGATGATATTTTAAAATTAAATATTTTATCAACATAAAAGTCTAGACAAACTTTTTTCATTTTGAATGTTAAATTCTTGAACATTTTTTAATGAATAAATAAACTATTGTTCTTTTAGAAATTGGTGATCTAGATTGTTTTAACCGAAAAAAGCTATTTTTAATTGGCTAGGAATGTTTTGAAATTAAAAGAAAATTTTAAATCAGTTTTACCGTTCCTAAACTCCATGAGACTCAAATCCTTCCCACCCAAAGCCATCTGCTTTGTTAGCACCACCCATCATCGCCATTGGCTCCCAACTTTTGATCGTTGCTTCTTTTTGTTTCTCGATTCTCCTCTTTTTTGATATGTGTATACGTATTCTATTAAATTGTTGTAAAAGAATGATATTAATAGACATAAAAAATTGATTTTTTTTTTACTTTAAAACTTTCCTAACCGGTTACAGGTAGTTTTTTTTTGTTAAAATGATGTACATAACCAATTTTTAAAAGTTCAATGGCTTATTTATTAAGAAAATGTTTAAGGACTTGATCATTCAAAATAAAAAAGTTTATTGGTTTTGTGAACTTTCTCTTTTATCAAAGATAGAACATCCATATCGATAAAATGATTTGAACTAACTTTATTTTAAAGAGTGACACCAAAATCCAAATATCAACCTCGA